TGAGACTTTCCAGGAGAAAAATGTCTTTCTTTTTTCTTCTTTGTCCTTGCCAAACTTGGGGTGGCAGTTTGTTTTTGCCCTGTTTTCATTGTCTCACTACCAGTAAAAATAAAGCCTTTGTTTCTGCAAGGCATATCTGTTCCAAAAACCTCAAACAAAAGTTTAAGAAAATGAGATATGTTGGGGGAAGGGAGAACACAAACATCAAATCTGCAATGTTGTTTCATATTGTTCCTTTCAAAACATTTGGAGAAATCAAATTTGCCAGATAATTAACACAGGTTACTTACCTTTTTTTTCTTGTGTTGTTTCTTTGAGGCATAACCTCTCCACTCCATTCTTATCAAAAATTTGAACATGGAAACAGTTCTCTCCATGATATGTAAAAAGCAGTACATCATGAAGCACAATTGAACTATCTGTCACAAACTTAGGCCAACCATTTTGCATATACACTTCGTTTCCTTTCTTTAGAACACTTACTTGCCACTTGTCACCAGAAGAAGAGCTACTGAGAACTGCATTACTCGACAAGTCTTCATTCAATTTCTTCAAAAACACCTTTGGAACTTTCTGCAGGTTATCACAGAAAACACTAGGATAGTCTTGAAACCAGATTACCATAAACAAGGAGTGGTAGCAACACTCATAAAACAATGAAATTAATGAAAAAAATAGACTTGAAGATAAATATTAATTAGTAGTCAAGAAAATACCATTACCATAGTTTGAGAGTGTTGCTCTGGAACGAAGATTGTGAAGAAGAGAGGGTATTTTTTCACACCACCAGCCATCAAACTGTATATTCAAAACTATTGCAAATCCTGAAACCCCGTGTGTTTTGTTTAGCTTTTATGCTAGGATATTGGAACACGGGTTTGTTTTTGACATTTCTTGCCTTTGGACCTTTGATTCTCCTTTGATTATCAGTTACCCGCTGGGGAAACAAACGCAGAGCCACCCATTTAAAGCTCTCCCTATAAAAGAATAAAACGACAATGCCTTCTCTGCACAAGTTATGTTCATCAATGGAAACAGGCCCACTATTTTCCATCCACATCCCACTTTTGGTCATCATTTGTGTTATTGCACAAAGCACAACCACTTGTGTTGTTTTATGTACTCTGTTGTGAGTGGCATAAAGATATGTTTGAAATGAAACAGAGTACCTTATATCTCAGTTTCTGTTTGAAAATTCATGTTAACATTCCTAAACGTTAATGCTAGATAGTTTGCATAAATGCATTCCTTTGAGTGCAAGAAAATTATGTGTTCTCTTAACAAAACTAAAAGTTCTGTTTGAAGTTTAAAACAGTTTTTTAAGAGTATGTTATTACTACCTATTGTTAAATTAATTACTTGAATTAGAAATGGATACTTTAATCATGGATTTTTATATTCTAATTCATCTTATAATACATTGTAATGAACTTTTTATACTAGAAAGATTAATAATAATGTCTAAGATTTAACTGTGTTTATGACATGAATCAAATCAATACAACCTACTCAAAGACTGAATTCAAACTGATTTTTAAAACAATTTTGGTGCACAAAATCCTGTTCTGAATATGTGAACACTCAAATGGTTTTGATCTTCAAGTTCAAATATGCAAGTGTCACCCCTCATAAGTCTGTTATCACGAACGAATCTTCCCCATCCTGTTGTAAATCGAGTATACCTCTTATTTTGACATCCAAACCAAGTCACTACCACTTCCCAAAATTTTCCTTCTGTGTTCCAAAGAATTATCTGTTTCACTGTTTCAGGAATATGCTTCCTGGCAAACTCAGTAGCAATTGGCTGCATGCAAATCCCAATTTATACCACATTAATACTTGTTCTAAAGTATACTGTGACTAGGAAATGTATGATATAACTCAGATAAACTGACATTCGAATCAAGAAAAATGATTTGATTTTAGCTTGTGAAATAAGAATGTCACTCAATTCATATTTACCAGTGTGCAGTGATCTTCTACATTGCATTTAGTCATGAGATGCTTCCAGTGAGGGTTGCGAGAGGTAAAAGAATCTGCCAAGTAGCATGCTTCTGAACTTTCAATTTTAACTGAACTCTTGAGCTTTGAAAATGAGAATTTGCTGCTGAAAGACAGACCTATGACATACATAAAACAAAATTTAAGAAATGAGATATTTTTGGGGGCTAGAGGGAATAACAAAGGGCAAATCTACAATGTTGTTTGCATGTTCTTCCTTTTCAAAACATTTTGAGTTTGTAATTACCACATATCTGTGAGAAAGTATAAGAGTTACCTTTTTTATAAGACTTGGCTTGGTGGAGGAATGGACTGGAAGAAGTTCTTCTGTGTGTGTTCTTCTTTGTCCTCACCAAACTTGGAATCAGAACTTGATCTTGTCTTGTTTGCTTGAAACATAACCTCTCCAATCCATTCTTACCAAAAATTTGAACATGGAAGCAGTTTCCTCCATGATATGTAAAAAGCAAGAAATCATCAAGCATCACTGAATTGTCGGTCAGAAACTGTGGCCAACCATTGTACAGATAAATGTTATTTCCTTTCTTCAAAATAGTCACTTGCCAATTATCACCAGAAGGACCAATAAGAACTGCATTTTGAAAGTCTTCATTCAAATGCTTCAGAAATCCCTCTGGCACTTTCTGCAAGTTATGACAAATAACATAGGCTTCAAACCAGTATACCACATTCTACAAATGCAGAGATTTCTCACTAGCACAAGTAAAATTAATAAAAGCGTGTAGCATAAGAACAACATAAAAAGGAAACAAGAACATCACCTGTAATTTGGAGTTGTTGATGATAACAAAGAAGACTGGATTGCCCCGATAATAGTCCATCTGCCACATCTCCCTGCCATTTCCTTGTACGATTAAAGCTTTTTGATAAAATGAAAAGTCTCTCATTGTCATAGTTTCTCAGAAGAATAGAATCAAAATACAAAATTGAAATAGTAAAGGTATATATATAATCTACCAGAAATCTGATAACAGTAACAAGTAGTTCATGTTTATGAAAATAAGAAAAAAACATGTACATTCCATGTTAGAAGACATGCATTGAGAGAGAGAGGAAAAGAAAGCCATACATGTATACTGCGTGCTAGTAGAGATGAGTTCAGTCTGAGAAAAAGAAAGAGAAAAGGCAATCATATATAGAAGATATTATTATACTCTCATTTGACTAAAATCGGAGAGATAAATCAATAATAATGAATATAACAAAGTAATGCATTGTACTAATGGAATTATGTCTTACTAATTTTATATATTATTCAACATATTTTTAATGAATAAAAATTATTTACAATATTTTCATTAATTTCAAGTTATATATTAACTATTAAATGTGATAGTTTAGAGAAATAATAATTTTAATATCGTTATATATTAACTACAAAATTAGAATCTCATAAAAAGTAATAGTCAAGTTACTTAATTGATAAAAAATTAAATTTAAAAAATATAAAAAGCTTAAGTACTTACAATAATTATGTTGTGGTCACTCTGTAACAGTGTTTTGTAAGGGTGGGATATAAACAACTGCCAATATATAATACGAAAAATCATCATAATCCCCTCATTTTAAACAATTATCACAATGTTTCCCAAATTATGCGAACACTAATTGATGATTTAATTAAATAAATTATACAATTTGTTTATATAGAGAATTAACATACATTTTTTTCTGTTACACGGTGATTAAAATTTAAGATCTTTTACACACATTAAAAAATAATAATCACTTCAAGATAAAAGTTTTTATTAATAGCCAATTTTATTAAAATATTCCTACACTTTTTTTCTTACTACTTTAAAAATATCATTAAGTATTTCCTAATGTAATATTTATTAAGAGGAAAATTGAAGAAAACTTTGGCATTTTACTAACACTTTGAAAGGTCAATCAATATCAACTTCTTGTTAGCGTTAAAAAGATCTTCCATATGAATGGAGATGGTGTTATTGAAATATTTATCAAAAAAATATTTGTTTTATCTATTTTTTTATTAAATAAAAATATTCGTATTTTGTATTTTTTTATTTACTTCTGTTGCAAATATAACATAAGTACAAATACATTTGTAAGCCAATCTGTCAGAAAAAACTAACAGTTTCACATTCTCTAAATTTATGCATCCTCTTGGTAAGACAATATTTGTTTGTTCTAGTTTTCTCCGGAGAAATTGGCATTTCCCTGTGCCAAACAGATAATTATTTTAGTTACCAAAATCTATTATCTGGTAAAAGCCAACCTCCATAACCGCTTCTGAAACAAGTTTGTGAGAAATTCACCATTTCTCCCTGGATTAGTTAGCCTTTTACCATGTCTTGGAAACACAGACACACCAACCCTCATCTTTAACATTCTTCAATTCAAAACCTTCAATTTCGAGGTATCCAGAGTAGTTTATTGCTTTGTAAATAATTGTTGTAATTATCTTTGTCTTTTTATTTAAATACATTTTCCCATAATCTCCATCACTGTCCCACAGACAAATCCTCGAATCACAAATCTTGTTAAAGTTCTTTTTGTTTCTATAAATTAAGATGCAAAAGTTGACACCACTTTGTTTCTATCACCACAAAATTTGTTCTTTAATTTTCTGTCATCATGCATTGACCTGGAAAAATAAACCTTTCGTTTTTTCTCAGAAAAAGATCATGCTTTTGAAGATGGGGATGGGTGAAGCTTTTGCCATGTCCAAGATAAGGAGGGAAGATTTGGTGAAACGGGTAGTGATCATGGCTGTGATGGCTATGTTTGTTGTTGATGCAGCTGATACAAAAGATGTCTATAGTCCATGCCTCGATGCTAAAGTTCAGAAAGGAGATGGTTTTACATTTGGTATTGCATTTTCGGATAGGCTAGTTTTCTCCCCGGATAATGGCCCACAGCTTTCACCTTGTGACAAACGCCTAGAGCTCACAAATAAAGGAGCACAGGTTGCTGCTTTTAGGCCTAAGGTTGATGAAATCTCCCTACTTACCATTAACAGAAGCACATTAGACCCGGTATGCAGTTTTATGTTATCATGATTCACAATTCAATGTTTTGTGTATGCTGCATATGGATGATGTTATCAGCAAAAAGACTTGTTAGAATAGTATGTCTGGTGTTAGAGTTGGTTTATAAAATGCTTTAGACTTTTTTCTTCTGTAGTTCCTTTCATTATCATGTCTCTGGTGGTTGCATCAATTCAGTCATGGGGCATTGCATTAGATAAGGACATTTGAGATACTTTAAGATTGAGAAAGTCCATTTCAGGGTGCTTTCAACTGGTATACAATATTCCCTGGCATAAGTTTGAAGAATTCCTTGAACTTTTGATGATATGTATGGTTTTTGTTTGAAGAAATATTTCTGCTTTGTTATGATCTAAAAGATGAGTGGTTCAGTAGCCATATTCTTCAGAAAAATTTTGGGTGGTAGTTCTCAATTAAATTTTGTGACTTCATCAGGGAAGAAATGGACACATGGTTGCATTTGCTGGGAAGAAATATGCAGCAAGGTCTCTGCCTATTATGTTTGCTGACCACAGTCACACAATTACTAGTTTCACTTTGGTAAGTTCAATTGACATGCTCAAGATTTGGCTTTTCTAGGAAGGTGATTTCCTTTAGGACCAGTTCTAGGAATGTGTTTTTGAATCTGAATGTTGATTGATTAACAGGTTCTTGAATTTCAAGAGGGTACCCTTCAAAACTTGTATTGGAAGAGTTTCGGTTGTGATGCATGTCCTAAGGGAAGTAGTTGCCTGAATCAACAAGACTGTGCAGTGCCTAACACAGAGTGTCAAAAAGATGGAGAGGATATCTGCAATATAGGCATACAGTTGACATTCTCAGGGACTGACAGGAATCTGGATGCTTTAAATTCTTGGTATGAAGTGAAAAATCTACGCCAGTACTCCCTCTATGGTCTATTCTCTGATCTTCGTGACTCCATCATTGGCCCATATGAAAAGTTATTTTAAGTTTACATATTTCCAGCTTATATGTAAAGGAGGATATACCCATTTAACTGTTCTTTGTGAGTTTAAATTGCTTTGTCTTCACCCTTCACATCCATAATCAATCCCCACAACATCCCACACTGGTATATCTTCAGAAAATATATTGGGATGTCAAAACAGATGTACAAAATTTTTGGGTTTCAAATATATAAAATATACTAAAATTAAGAGAATCGTTATAAGTGCAAAAAAATATTGTGGGGGTGTGGGGGGATTTTCCACTTAACATGTAATTATGTTGATCCTAATCTCAGGAAATCAGTTTATGCAAAATCAAATAGGTAAGTTTAATTGAGCAGATTGCAGACTCCAGTAGACATAAAAAAATGAAGCTCATCATTCAACAAGCCCCTAATAAAAAGGCTATGAGATTCAAAGTTTGTAACATATCAAACTAGGAGGCAGTAAGATATAACTGAGTCACTTTGGTATCCCTTTAAAACCAGGATGAAAAATATAAAATGTGTTTCCTGTACATTTTTTCTTGCAAGGCTCATAATAGAATATTGCAGCCCATTTTTTTGAGTACACCAAACTGACCAACAAATAACAGCTCTTTTATATGCAAATTATTGAGAGAAAAGAAATCACGTTGCCATCACTGACGATCAATCTGGTTATGCTCAACAACTAGATCTCCCATAACAAGTTAATTAGAATCTTACTAATTTTCAGGCTCAAGTATAACATTGAAGCCAAAGTCATTCCCTGGAGTGAATGACTTCTTGAGTTGTTCTGCCGAATGGGTAGTGTTTATCTTCCAGTTCTTTTCATCCATATTTTCCTGGTATTGGATCATCAAATGTGGAAATAAGTTCATGTTCATGACACCTATATATATTAAGTGGTAAAAATCACTTGCCTTTTTCACATAATCAGCCATGGTAGAGTTGAGTATTTCTTGTATTGCGAATTTGATAACCCGTTCTTCCCCTAGCATCTGAACAAGGAAGTCCTTTGGTATCTGCATACATTTGCTAATGGGGTTATCTTTGAGGAAGAAGCAAACAAGATAATGACCTATGGATAATGGATGGCCTTTCTATTTTTTTTTTTCTTTTGAGGGCTAACTAATAGTTGGATAAGATATTTGATAGAAAAATCTAATCATCTCATTGATTAATGCTTACATTTTAATTATATTGATGTTATTAACCACATTGCAGATGAAAGAATAAACAATTTATATGAAAAGATGATAAATAATAACTCATCAGATGTAAAAAAAGAATTGATTGAAATCACGCACCTTTGAAGATTTTCCTGGAGCAGTTCGGACATCACATGCACAAATTAATAATTCAGTAAAAACTCATGAACTGCATAATTTTATTCTGCTAAAATACAGAACTATAGTCAACAGGAAAGTGCATCACATGCAAAATCATATCAACATCAAGAAATAAGTATTGGATTTGAAAAGGAAGTGCTTCAACACAAATGCTAACGCCTTGTGTTCAAGCAACTCTTGAGGATAAATTTTGAATGAGGGATAAACAATTGAATTGTTCAGGGTATGAAAAGGCACTGCATCAATCTTTATCAATAATGCAGCTTCTTGGTTCTTACCTCCTTTTTGCATGCGAAATCCCGGAACCGGTGGGGCAGTACGACCTAAGTTTATTACGATCCTATCGAATACTTTTTGGGTTTGATCACCAGTCAACTCCACTCTCAGCTGCCATTAATTCCATAAGATAGTTATTGCAGCATCAAACCAAAAAGTAGTAGGGTACATGAATGTGAAAACTTGAAATTAACATGATCCAGTAAAGAAAACAATACACGATAGAAGGGGAAACTATAAGGTAAAGGAAAAGGTTTGATATAGTAATATATCTAGTCTTATTTTGTGTAAATTTTAAGCTGCAGATTGTACTCTATGCTAGTGGCAATGTCTGTAACAACCAAAAACTATATGTTCACTTTACAGCAATATTAGCTTAAATTTTGACCTGCTTGTATAAATATAAGTAACATGACGAAATACATTATCACATCTTGTCATCCTTGTACTCTATAGGATAAAGCAATGGCGGTAGAGAGATAGAAGAAAATATCAAGAGAAACAGAGAATAGAAGCTATGGATGGAGACAGAAATTGGGAACATAGAATGATAACATAAAGAAACATGAGATAATTTCCTGAAGAGGCAGAAAACAATTCTACACTAAACCAGTTTTTGTAGCATGCTCACTTGTATCTTATTTTCATCTTCAGAATCCAGTACTATTTTGGCATTTGATAACACGGCTGAAAGTTCGTTGGAATCTGTAATTGATGCTTCTAAACCTACAAGACAAGAAGAACATAAGATATTAATATCAGTGCAGAACTAACAAAAGTCCACAGCAAAAGTGAGTATAATTCATTGAAGGCGTAAAGTTTAAAGATTTTAAGTGAGAAATTTTAGAAGCAGAACACATGAAGGTTGGTAATTGGTGTTTTCCCATTTTGTGCGCTTAACACTCTGTAGAACATTCATTCATATATTTGAAATGCAACAGAGGGATGGGTCCAAAAGTCACCTGAATTAAGGGCTGAAATTGGTGCATTGAGATATCCGAGAGTTGTTTCAATGGGACTAAAAAATCCACCCAAGCTGTATGGAAGAACATAAAAACAAAACAAATAAGCCAATAAGGTTGCTAAGTATCATTCACCGAAGTTTTGGAGAGTGAAGTAATTGGGTACCTCCTCCTCTTGAACAGACTGAGACTGAGAGAAACAGTGTCTCTGGTTTTTGCATTTGGAATGGCAAGAACATGAATGCAGCAGGTTCTAGTTCCAGTCATAGAGAAAGGGCATGTTGTGAAAGAAGGAACTCCAAATATTGTGGAATTGGACTTGGAAGCCGTCGTCATGTTATTGTTCATGTTCATGTTCATGTTCGTGTTCATGTTCATATTCATGTTCATGTCGTGTCTGTCTTCCACATATGAGTGGTGAATGATGATGTCTTATCCTTTACTCAGTTACTCTTTTTGAGGTTTTGCCTCAACAAGGTGGGGTCCAGTTCGGTCCACCATCCAATTCCAATTTCCAAGCTTTCATTTATTTCCCTTTGATACAGAGAAAGATTTATTTTCCTTCCTACTGTTCCACATCAAAGATTACTCGCTCGCACGAACTTCATACGATTAAATTGAAAGCAGGGCAAATTTCAGGTTTTCACTATGATTAATTGAAATAATAATCCTGATCAATACTATGATTAATTGAATATACCCGACTTAAATAGATCATTACATCATAGTACACTTGACTTTTCTTGGGANTTATCACATCTTGTCATCCTTGTACTCTATAGGATAAAGCAATGGCGGTAGAGAGATAGAAGAAAATATCAAGAGAAACAGAGAATAGAAGCTATGGATGGAGACAGAAATTGGGAACATAGAATGATAACATAAAGAAACATGAGATAATTTCCTGAAGAGGCAGAAAACAATTCTACACTAAACCAGTTTTTGTAGCATGCTCACTTGTATCTTATTTTCATCTTCAGAATCCAGTACTATTTTGGCATTTGATAACACGGCTGAAAGTTCGTTGGAATCTGTAATTGATGCTTCTAAACCTACAAGACAAGAAGAACATAAGATATTAATATCAGTGCAGAACTAACAAAAGTCCACAGCAAAAGTGAGTATAATTCATTGAAGGCGGTAAAGTTTAAAGATTTTAAGTGAGAAATTTTAGAAGCAGAACACATGAAGGTTGGTAATTGGTGTTTTCCCATTTTGTGCGCTTAACACTCTGTAGAACATTCATTCATATATTTGAAATGCAACAGAGGGATGGGTCCAAAAGTCACCTGAATTAAGGGCTGAAATTGGTGCATTGAGATATCCGAGAGTTGTTTCAATGGGACTAAAAAATCCACCCAAGCTGTATGGAAGAACATAAAAACAAAACAAATAAGCCAATAAGGTTGCTAAGTATCATTCACCGAAGTTTTGGAGAGTGAAGTAATTGGGTACCTCCTCCTCTTGAACAGACTGAGACTGAGAGAAACAGTGTCTCTGGTTTTTGCATTTGGAATGGCAAGAACATGAATGCAGCAGGTTCTAGTTCCAGTCATAGAGAAAGGGCATGTTGTGAAAGAAGGAACTCCAAATATTGTGGAATTGGACTTGGAAGCCGTCGTCATGTTATTGTTCATGTTCATGTTCATGTTCGTGTTCATGTTCATATTCATGTTCATGTCGTGTCTGTCTTCCACATATGAGTGGTGAATGATGATGTCTTATCCTTTACTCAGTTACTCTTTTTGAGGTTTTGCCTCAACAAGGTGGGGTCCAGTTCGGTCCACCATCCAATTCCAATTTCCAAGCTTTCATTTATTTCCCTTTGATACAGAGAAAGATTTATTTTCCTTCCTACTGTTCCACATCAAAGATTACTCGCTCGCACGAACTTCATACGATTAAATTGAAAGCAGGGCAAATTTCAGGTTTTCACTATGATTAATTGAAATAATAATCCTGATCAATACTATGATTAATTGAATATACCCGACTTAAATAGATCATTACATCATAGTACACTTGACTTTTCTTGGGAAATTAAAAAATTAATGGGTCAGCGTAATAGATCTCTTCAGCATCATACATATTTTTGTCATAAAGGGAAAATTTAAAGAAATGATCTTTGAAAAGTTAACACTGACACTGCAAAAGATTAAATCTTTTCCCACTTGGAATCTCTACCCAACATGTCACTTTCCACCAAATCGCATCGCCACTAATTCAAAATTAATGAATGAAGGAAAAGAAGCGTTATACAGTTTATCTCATTAATTCATGATTAATCTTCTTGAAGAAAAAAAAGAGTTTGTATCTTGTTTGCTGACCGAAAAATATTCAATGCACGAGAAAATTTATGAAAAGAAAAATCTTATAAAACACAGACAAATTTCTCCAAAGAATCTCATAGTTAAAGATGAGGGTAGTATATTTAGCCCCTCAATAGTGGTTGCTCAATGCTAGAAAATTTCTTCAGCTATGAAAATCATTGTACAGTAACACAGACCAGCACCACTTTGGAAGTTTTCGCTTAAGGGTGCTCCTTCCCAGCTGCTAATTTACCGCAGACAACTATCGAAGAAAGCGAAGAGTCAGATGCCCCATTAACTTCAGCGCCTTTACTTGTAACAAGAAGCAGATAATCAACAATGTTTTCAGTTACAACCTCACCAGGGATCAATATTGGTACACCAGGAGGGTAGGGACATATAATCTCCCCTGCAACCTCACCAATGCTCTCTCTTATTGCCACTTTTCTTTTACTTGCAAAAAACGCATCTCTAGGGATCATACTCATTATTACATCATCAAAGGGTGCATGAACATTCACCACTTTCTTCTCTGCTTTTGGAATGGAACCATATGTTGCAGCCAAACGCTTAATTCCCAACACAAGCCTGTGGACATGCTCCCTACAAGTCCCAAGATTAAGTGCATAAGTTATTGATCTATTCCGAAATATTTCACAGATAACATCATAATCCTTGTATAAGATTTTGTCTGCTTCAGAACCTGATAAACCAAGATTCCAAAACCCTACAGTGAGACGCAATGGATCAACTGCAGGAGAGGCTGGGAAGCTTGAATTATCAAGTACTGAGATACCGGGTATTTGTTTTAGCACAGATTTAAATATTTAAAAGACACTAAATATCAATGATATCATATGAGTCAAATTTAAATATAAAATATTCACATCACCTTAAAAAAACTTTAAAGAAATAAATAAATTTAAGAGCTTTCTTTCTATGCAGTAGTTGACTTGTCGTCTTTAATAATTGTGAGAGTTAGATTTAATACTAGTATTCCTACCTGAGATGGAGTGACCAGCAGCAATGTCCACAATCATTGAGAATGTGAGGAATGATGTACTTAGGCAATGCACCAGATAATACCAAAGCAGATATAACTGATATATGAGAATTCCTTGGAAGAATGAGAAGATCCCCCGGAGAAAATGTTGCCATTATGGCCGCCTGGATTCCAGAAATTGTACCTCCGACAAGAAACCATGTGTGTGAGGATCCAAAGAGTTTGCTGCTTCAAGCTGTGCTTCTAATATGGGACCGTAGGGACAAAAGAGATTGCCAAGCTCACGAAGCACAGGCAAGTCATGAACAAAGGATTTTTTTCCAATGAGCCCAGTCATGGAAGTAGGTGCAGCATGCCCTCTCTTGTGTCCAGGAAAGTGAAAACTCGCTGCATCTTTTTCGGCTGAAGATTTTTAAGGGGAAAGACAAAAAAATATAAGAACTTCGCAAAGAGTAATAAAGCAGCGGAAATTCAACCGTCCTTTTTGCAAGAATATGTTGCAAAAGAATATGTGAGGAGCATCAAACAAATAGAACAAAAATAGAATTCAAAGTACAAAGAGATACCAACAATGTAAAAAATCCCTCAATGCAACGTCCACACAAAAGAAAAATCCACTATGATTAATAATAGGGTACAAAAGAGTCTCAAATAATAACACCAAATGATGTGTTTAATAAGCCAATTTAAATAAACACAAATGCTTATAAATGAGAACAAAAAAGATGAAAATTCTCCAAAACAGGGTGCTGGTGCGGGACCGATTTCTCCCAATCTAGACCTTCGATCCGAATGGTCAGAAAGAACCATATATCTGGAACCTACTTTCCAAAAATCAACTCGATCCAATGAACGACTTTACAGCGATGAAAACATCAATACAGGTTTAGAGTTATGTAGGAATAGCTTTCTCTATTTCTTTCTCTCACTTGACTTTTGTCTCTCTCAAATGACTCACATAAAGGTTCAGGACCTATTAAGAGCCCAATAACCCAACAGATTTTACTGCATTCACTAGAGGGGAACCCTATTTTGGTGAGGCATCATGGAGACGTAAAGACCAGATTTCGTGAAAAAAATCCTGCAAATAGAAATAAAGGAGACTGAGATAGAAAGAAAGAGAGTATATTCTTAGATGATGCAACACTCTTAATTGTGTAATATTTCCCGATTAGGATAGATTATATGGCTGTAATGGATACGATCTTACACAGCAGAAAAGTCAAAAACTTTGCTGCTTGCCATTATTATTGGATAATGAGATTTTAAGAAGATAATAATGAGATTTTAAAAAGATAACTTTGTTAGGTATACAAGCTAAAATCCAATTAATAACTGACTTTGGCGATTTCAAGTGAGATTTTAAGTTAGAAATAGGTATATTAATATTAATAATTTGATTTCTATATGTAGTTTTTTTTTAGTTTTTATATTTGTTTTTTATTCAATCAGATTTGTACTTTTGTAAAAACATTCANAACATCAATACAGGTTTAGAGTTATGTAGGAATAGCTTTCTCTATTTCTTTCTCTCACTTGACTTTTGTCTCTCTCAAATGACTCACATAAAGGTTCAGGACCTATTAAGAGCCCAATAACCCAACAGATTTTACTGCATTCACTAGAGGGGAACCCTATTTTGGTGAGGCATCATGGAGACGTAAAGACCAGATTTCGTGAAAAAAATCCTGCAAATAGAAATAAAGGAGACTGAGATAGAAAGAAAGAGAGTATATTCTTAGATGATGCAACACTCTTAATTGTGTAATATTTCCCGATTAGGATAGATTATATGGCTGTAATGGATACGATCTTACACAGCAGAAAAGTCAAAAACTTTGCTGCTTGCCATTATTATTGGATAATGAGATTTTAAGAAGATAATAATGAGATTTTAAAAAGATAACTTTGTTAGGTATACAAGCTAAAATCCAATTAATAACTGACTTTGGCGATTTCAAGTGAGATTTTAAGTTAGAAATAGGTATATTAATATTAATAATTTGATTTCTATATGTAGTTTTTTTTTAGTTTTTATATTTGTTTTTTATTCAATCAGATTTGTACTTTTGTAAAAACATTCAATGCGTAATGTTAATATTATTTAGAAATGCCATGTATCAAAATTTAGTCTGCTATATGTTAAAGTCTAGATCGCTTTCAAATTTGGAATCCGATTTTGACATTTTGACATGTGACACCATAGAAAATGATTAAGATTTTGACACAATATAAATCTGAATTTTGTTACGTGACATTTTTAAACAAATGTTAATGTAAAATTAATGGAAACATTCACATTGAATCTTATTTACAAAAATAAATATTCAATTGAGTATTTTTTTTAAGGGAAGCTAGATATTCAAATTTTGTATGACTATTGAATGAAATTGATGGATTTGTTGATGAAAAGATGAGGAGTTGATTGGTGTAGATGAATTATGTTTCTACCCATTATTAATAGTTGTGAATTATGAAACTTTTAAATCGATAAATGAATTGAATGAGACATATTTGTGATTTAAACGGTGTTTAAGTAAAGCTATGTAAGTTTGAATCAATTGGCTTCTTATATGTGTCCGATTAGCATGTGAAAAGGGAGAAAAACACCTATTGAGGCCAATTGAACAAACTAAGATATTTGTTACAAACTATAGTTATGTAAACTCATCATTAGACGAACCAAGTACTTTGAGCGAAAATGAAAATTATGATTACAAAGAGCTCCAAACATTTTACTTGTTGAGAGAGTCAGGATTCATTGGGCAAGTCTGTGAAAAATATGCTCCCAGTAGTTTGATCATTGAGTGAGAAAAATGGTCGCTAAACAAGAAAGAAAATTTTGAAAGTTAGTAGCTCAAGGTGATTTAAGTGGTGATAGTTCCATTCGTCGTGCAAAAATATGAGATGTTTGCTCCAATGGATCGTCACTTAGTGTGAGATCCTTATTTTATGAAGAGGATAGCTTTAAAAGAATTTTGTAATTGTGAACATGTTTATAGTATAATTGTTTATGTTTGTAATTATGTTTTTAGTGGTGGAAATACTCTATTTGATAATTTATAGTGTATTGAATAGGGATTCATTTATGAGATTACCTGTACTCTACTAAGTATTCTAGTTCACATAAAGGAAGATATCTAGGTAGTAAGAGTCCATGGAAGTTTCTATGACACGAATTGGTTTGAAAAATGTTTGGATTCAAGATTTAAATTGAAGATTGGATGCTTGGATCCAAGATTTGCATCAAAGAATTAGGAATTTAGTTGTTGAAATTATGTAATTTGTGTATCTTATTTAAGATAATAAAGTTACAAGGTCAAGAGTCAAAAAATGCAAAACTCAAACCGTAGAGCACGAAATCATTTTAAAAGAAAATTATTTTTCTAAAATTCACATCAATAATTGATTATTATACTCATTATCACTTATGATAATCAATTATCATTTTACTATAATCTGACAAAAAAATATTCTGTAAAACATATTTGGAAAAGTAATGCGACAACAATTGATTATTGTTTGCAATAATTGATTATTAGTGACAATTGGCTTTTCATATTTTAACCTAATTTCGAAAAAGGAATTTTCCAAAGCAAGTTTTATTCTATAAAATGAGAAAAGCTATATGTTTTCAAAAAAGCTTTGAAAGCCTAGTGTAGGTAGATGGATAACTTTTATCAAATGTGATATTGAGTGTTACCAGGTGAAATTGTTCATCAAATAAGATGTTTATTTCTTGTGATTTTAAGAAAGATGTTTCTTCATCTCTTATATGACTCAAGAAATATGTCTTCATTCTTTATGGAATTCAAATGAGGTGTTGATTTCTTGTGGATTTCAAAGGGTATCTTTCACTCCTTGTTACTTCAAGAGAAATGAACCTTAAATTTTTTCTTCTATGTAAGTTTGATTTATTTTTAACGTAAAGTCTTTTTATCTAAACTAATATAAAATTTCTTCACAAATTTGTTGTCAAATTTCTCTTTTTCCTATTCGCTTTATTTGTATATTGTTATCTTAAATAAATCAATTTTATTGGTAAGTCAAATCTTAGAAAGAAAAAATATTTTAAAAACACAATTTTTATTAAGAAATCAATTTCTCCTCTTAATGTTGTCCAAACACAATTATTTTGCTGTGTGATTCTAACATATACATCATCCGCGTTATGCACATAATGGTTTATGATGACTGAAATAATAACCCAAAATACAAAGCAACCTAGCAACCTAGCAACATAGCATTGAACGGTACTATAAAGTAACAACATAGTAGCCCACTAGATCTAAACACCACTCCACCAGAATAATCCAAAATAGTAGCAAAGTAACCCAAAATTAACAAAAAAATCACCAACAAAGCTTGATGATGACCTCAACAAATCAACATACCCTTGATTAAAAAAGAACACATGATACAATTCAGCGTAAAAGTAATACTTGCATGAAACAATCTTGACTTTTATATCTCAGACGACTTAACTAATGTTGAAAACAGAAAACATAAGCAATTTCTGAGAACCAGGATGAACATATGCAGTGTGACTCTGGTATCTGGCACTGACTTCTCAATTTTTGACCTTCCCTGTCACCATAACGTTAATAGCATGAAAAAATCTAAAATCAAGTCTTCCTATTCTCCATGACATTCTCTAAATCATTTTCTTTTTCCAATTAGCTACACATATGCAATTAAACTCCAATTAGTTGCAATTTTCTTTCAATATTTATGATTGCGATCAGGTTGATGCTGGTTTGCATCTGGGCCCTGCCATTAGTTTTGATCCTTCCTAAAGGAATAGCATTTAATTGCCCAGTATCATGAATCAATGAGTTCGACCTATATTTAACACATCGTAACCCAGTAGCATTTCCAAGAGGCAAAAATTGAGTACTCTTTCATTCTTATGCATTAAAATGAGGAAAGGTTTCCAACAATTCGGCCTTTACTAGTTGCTAACTACTCGAGAATTTCCTCAGCCGTGTAAACCATCGCTAACTGTAAAATAATCTTTTGGTGTGACACAAAAATCAAAGGCCACTTGGGAAGTTTAACTTCAAGGTGCTTCTCACCGGCTGATTTACTTTACGTTGCAGACAACTACTGAAGAAAGTAAGGGATCAGATGCCCCACTAATATCAGCACCTTTACT